CCTCCCACTAACTCAACGTCAATCCCAGGTACAAGCCCGTTTGTCAGAAGTTGAGGAATGTAAGTACAGAAATAGATTAAGCCATGCAAAAAGAAGTAGAGAAGCTACTGAAGAATGGGTCAGTAAGGGAGGTAGCCTACCTAGACTAGCTGTCCAACATAGTGATGGTTACAAAGGCTAATGGAAAGTGGCGCCTCTGCATGAATTTCATGGAGCTCAACAAAGCCTGTTCCAAAGACCGCTACCCTCTCCCACGCATCGATCTCCTTATTGATACCACCATAGTACACGAGCTTTTGAGTTTTCTAGATGTTTACTCCAGATACAACCAGAGCAGCATGTTCCTTCCAGACCAAGAGAAAACTTCGTTCATCACCCCGAAGGGCACCTACTGCTATAGGGTGATGCCTTTAGGAATTAAGAATGCCAGAGCCACGTATCAGCGCCTTGTGAACAAGATATTCGAGGCCCAAATTGGGAAGACTATGAAGGTCTACATAGGTGATATGTTGGTGAAGAGTATGGTTGCGGTAGACCATGTGCTACATGTCCAGGAAACATTTGATGTACAGAGAGCCTAAAAGATGAAGCTAAATCCTCAAAAGTGTGCCTTTGGCATAAGTTTAGGAAAATTCTTAGGCTTCATGGTCAACAAAAGGGGCATTGAAGTCATCATAGACAAGATCAGAGCCATCTTGGAGATGAAGTCCCCAGCCTCGGTAAAGGAGGTCCAGCGCCTTAATGGGAGGATAGCGGCCCTCAACAGGTTTGTCCCTAAATCAGCAGATAAGTGTCTGCCTTTCTTTAAAATCCTTCGTAGGTCTTTCTAGTGGGGACCAGATGCAAAGGAGGCCTTTCAGAAGCTTAAGGCCTACCTCCTCACACTACCTTTGCTCTCTCATATTGTACTGGGAGAGATCCTGTATCTCTACCTCTTATCTTCACCCTTTGCCGTGAACTCTATCCTTGTCTGGGAGGAAGGAGGCATCTAGAAGCCTGTGTACTATGTAAGTAAAGCATACCGAGGGACAGAGGTAAGGTACTTGAAGCTTGAAAAGTTGGCCCTTGCACTTGTCACTGTTATCAGTCGTGTACGCCACTACTTTCAAAGTCACACCATCATGGTTGTTACAGATCAACCGTTCAAAAGAATTCTAGGAAAGCCCGATGTGTCCATCCGATTACTCAAGTAGGCCTTTGAGTTAAGTGAGTTCGATGTGCAATACCAGCCGAGGGTGGTCATCAAAGCACAAGCACTTGCGAACTTCGTGGCCGAATCTACACCGCCACAGAAGTCTCGGGATTCAACGCTGCCACAAGAATCCTGGGAGTCTACCCCACCATAAGAGTCTCAAGAGGAAGTATCACGCTCCCCTGTGCCCACGTGGTTAATACATACTGCCTCCACCCACCATGAGGCTAGCCCAGACACTACCCTAAGAGGACCCGACGTCTCGGAGACAGCTCCACAGGCCCTGGGAGATCACACTCCAAGACTAGAAGGGCCTGACTCCCTTGTGCCTACTCCATCCAAACCCTCTGTGCCCTCGCCACCATCTATTATACCAGCTTGGAGACTCTATGTAGATGGATCCTCCACTAGTGTGGACGACAGCACGAGACTAGTGTTGATTAGCCCTCATGGCAGTCAGTTGAAGTTCGTTGTTTCCCTCCATTTTGTTACATCAAATAACCAAACTGAATATGAGGCCCTCATATCAAAGTTTAAGCTCGCATTGGAGATGGAGGCCCTCTACCTGACAGCCTATAGTGACTCACAATTGATTAAAGGTGTCAATCGTGTCGGGTTAAACGGGTGACGGGTGAAAAACGTATAAACTCATACACGACACGTTTAATAAACGGATAAAAAATCTCAACACGAACACGACCCGTTTAATAAACGGGTAACACGATACGACTCGTTTAAACCGTTTAATTTTAAAAAATTATATCAACAAATTTTAATACTCCATTGTTTTTATTACTAATTGCACTTACCTCAAAAAAGAGAAATTTTAAATCAAATCTCATAAAATTAAGAATTAAAGACTTTAAAAAAAAAAAGAAGCAAGAAGCTATTACCTTTTATAGGCAACTCACCCTCTCCATCTCCCCTCATTTTTCAATGTGAGATAAAAATAAAAGACATTGGTTTGCCTTTGTCTTTGAAGTGCTCTACAACTCTTCTCCTTTGTCTTTAAAAGATAAGACTTGAAGGCTTTAAAAATAAAAGCAAGAGACCATTGTCTTTTATAGGCAACTCAACCCTCCCCATCTCCCCTCATTTTCTAATATGGGACAAAAACAAAATACATTTGTTTGCCTTTGCCTTTGAAGTGCTCTCCAACTCTTCTCCTTTGTCTTTGAACTACTACTTTACTTATGTTTTTTTATTGATTTCTTTACTTCTTTTTTCTTGCTAATTTTTTAAAATAATTATTAATTTATTATTATATTAATTTTATTTAAACGGGTAAACGTGTGGTAAATGGTTTGATAGGTCTCACCCAAACACGACCTGTTTATTAAACGTGTTTGGCGTATGAACCCGTTTATCACCCAAACCCGTTTAATTCGTATCAATTCGTGTCGTGTCGAATTTTGACAATCCTACAGTTGATGGTCAACCAGGTAAAGGGAGACTTTGAAGCAAAGGAGGAGAGAATGCAAGAATACTTTTTAGTGGTCCAAGCTTTGTTAAAAAGGTTTACCTGCTTCCAAATCGACCATATTCCCCAAGAGGAGAATGTCATGGCAGACGCCCTTACCAAATTGCATATGCCAACATACTTATGAGCCTGGCACTGACAGGCCACTAGTTTGAGCTACGCACCTTCAAGACAAAAAAGGACGATGTTAATTGTACATCCTCGAAAATCAACTAGATAACACCCATCCGAGCTTACCTAGAGGAGGGCGCTCTCCAGGAAAACCCAGTAGGATCCAAAAAGTTGAGGATGAGAGCGTCCAAATATGTTATCTTACGCGACACACTATACAAAGAGTTACTCACTACCACTTCTCCACTGTCTTACCCCCAAGGAAGTCAATTATCCTATGAGAAAAATCTATGAGAAGATATGTGAAAATCAATCGAGAGGGCGCGCACTAGCCCACAAAGCAATGAGACAGGGCTACTATTGGCCTAGCCTGATCAGAGACGCCTAAGAGTTCACCAAGAAGTGCGATAAGTGTCAACGCTTTGCGACTGTACCCAGACAGCCACTTGAAGAGCTCACCACCATTTAGTGCCCATGACCCTTCTCCATGTAGGGGATTGACATCCTAGGTCCCCTACCCGTGAGTCGAGGCCAGTACAAGTTCGTAGTAATAGCCATTGACTACCTTATTAAGTGGGTAGAAGCCGAGACCACAACCAAGATAACAGACCAGAAGGTGAAAGACTTCATATGGAAGAGTATAGTCTGCAGCTTTAGAATACCTCATGCCATTGTAAGTGATAACGCTAAATAGTTTGATAATAAACTCCTTAACAACTTCTACGCAGACCTACAGATCAGGCAGCCCCACTCCAGCTCGGCTTATCCACAAGCGAACGGACAGACAAAGGTAACCATTAGGACCATCCTCCGCAACTTGAAAACCAAATTGAAAAGTGCGAAATGACGATGGGTAGACGATCTCCTGGGAGTACTATGGGCATATTGGACGACACCAAGAAGCCCCACGGGTGAGACCCCTTTCTCCTTATCCTATGGGACAGAAGCAGTCATACCCATTGAAATTGGAGTACACTCCCTAAGGGTCTAGCACAATGACCTTACTAGCAATGAAGAAGGCCTCTGAATCAACATCGACTTGGTAGAGGAGAAGGAGATATCCATGCTCTGAAATGTAAAGTGCAAACATCACATGACCAAGTACTACAATTCGAAGGTGAAACCTCGGTCCTTCTTGCCTGGAGACCTAGTCCTCAAAAAAGTCATCCTGGCTACCAAAGATTCTCGAGAAGTGAAGTTAGGACCTTACATGGTCATAGAAGTTGTAAGACTGAGCACCTACAAAATTCAGGATTCTCATCCATGGAACGCGGAGCACCTAAAAAAATATTACCGGTAACTGGGGGCAGGACAGCAGACGCACAAGTCAGTAGTTACCACTTAAGTTATTTATTGTTACTATATTTAAATTTCATTGTTACCTATTTCAGATCATGAAATAAAATTTCGCAAGATTTTGTCTTTTTCAAAAGAGTTGTTTCGTAGAAGTTCATAAAGCATTTATAAAAGATAGAACATGACCTAGCAACAAAAACATAAATGCAAAGATACCATGCTCCTCACATCACTCACTACCTTCATTCCCATCATTGCTCGTGTCCTCGTCATCAAACTCGGGAGCCTCGTATAGAACGAAGCTAGAAAAATCATAATCAGGAAAAGCTATTGAGACCTTTCCCTTGAGCTCCTTATAACCATCAATAAAGGCGCCTTCCACAGCCCTTAAAGCAACATCCTCCTTCTTCTTCTTCATCTCCATGGAGTAAGCCTCTGTCCTAGTAGCACTCTCAAGAACTGCTCCAAGGTCAGCTTCTACTATAGCGGATCTCTCATGGGACGCTCGCAACTCTGTCTTCGCTCTGGCGCAGGCAGCCTCTCTTTCAGCCTCCAGTGGGCGGCCCTCTCACGGGACACATGAAGCTCGGTCTCAAGCATGAAAGCTCTCTCATGTGTTAGCCTCGGCATTCTCTCGTGCCTACCTCTTGAGCCCTAACTGCTCCTTAGTAACCCTATATGCTTGGCTCTCCACGGCCTGACCATCGAGTGTCTCTCTAAGCTTCAACATGCTTGAAAACAAATAAGGAAAGGTAGTAGCCACCTACAGGTATCCAAAGGCCAGAACATGAAAGAAGGAAGCCAAGTACAAGATCAGAGATGAGTAAAGGGCATAACAAAGCAAAGCCCTTCATTGTTGCGTCTACAATGCCTTATGGACCTCGAGAAGCAACCTCCTAAATCTCCGTATGAGTCACAAACCTCCACACAAGTCATTTGAAGCATTGCCCTTGCAACCCAAAGTAGAAGTAGTGCTGCCTAAACCCAATCTCATACTGCCCAATCGACGCAAGTCGTCGCCAACACCATGTCTGCCATTACGGGCGTCGTCTACGCCATGGCTGCCCTCATGGGCATTGCCTACAGCACAGCTGGCGCCATCGCCCATGACCTCTTTTGTGCCTTCGGATCGGCCTGGACCACCTTCAATGCCCGTACAGGTGTTGTCATTAGCTAGACCAATGTTATCTCCTTCCTTGGACTCTCCAGTAACCCAATACCCATATCCAAGGACGTCCCCATAGGCTGGCGCCACCCAGTGCTCTAGTGGCATCGCCATCAACATCGAGAACGCTGATGAGGTCACCTCCCCTGATATCGCTTGTGATGGCTTTTCCAACGCCATCGGACTGCCTGCCGATTTCCATGGCACTATCCTTGGGAATCGCAATGAATTTCATTGGCTTTGGGATCACCCTCTTCATCTAGCTTATCTTTTTCAATGAAAAATAAGAGGTTTTAAGTTTTTGCTACAGTAAAGAGGTCTTGAGGAAAGAGGGTTTCAAAAATGTCGACTCCTTGATGCCCTTGAGGAAGTGCCCTAGAAAAAGACAAAGGGACCTTTAAGTATGGAAGATTAGAAATCCCCTCTGCCTGAACGATAACACTACGAAGCAATGAGGAAATGAGGAAAATAAGCTCCCAGAAACAAAGAAATCAAAGTTTGGAGAAGCACCATGGGGAAGAAGAAACCTTTTGGCTCTTTAGATGAAGAAGCTCACTCATGCCTGCAATCCCTTTCTACCACTACTAGGGCTTGGGGCATGAGGGCAAATAACGAGTCGAGATTCAAATAGGTCAGGCCCAACTGATCAATCAAGCCCAGATCCACTAGAAAGGCAGGCCAAGCCTGGTTCATCACTCCAACCCAGTCCAAGATTCAAGGAGCCTAAGAAAATAAGAGCACGTGAGAGAGAGATTATTGAGATACCCACTCTCGAAGATCAAGGCTATCTTAATTGTACTTACCTTTTATAACTATCCTCACTAAAAAGCTAGTGCCTTTACCTGCACGTCACCACCTCACCATGCCTATAAATTGTAAGTTCTCTCCATTGAGAGAGGCATCTCACTACACAATGAGTTTTGCCTCCACACCTCTCTGCACATACTTTCTCTCTCCTAGTTATTGTATCTCTTCCGAAGCTAACAATTGATATCTCTTTTGTTCACCTTGCTTGATCAATAAAAACCCACCGGCCGCCATTGTCGTTTCCCATAGTGGAGTTGGTTACCTGGACCGAACCACTATATATCTTTGTATTGACTCAATATTTACATTACTGTCATTGATTGATTTATTTATTATCCATTAATTACACTTTGTTACACATTCGACTGTTGATCTTGCACAAGAATATTTTGTGCATCATCACTATAAATCAAACCTAAAAAAAATATTTCCCATTAGCTATCTACATATTTTATCCATTTCATCCACATTTTAGACATATTCAATATAAAACAAATTCGAAAATATTTTTAACGGGTTGAGTTTGTGTCATTGACAAGTCAATTGTGAGTCACAATTAACGGGTTGTGTTTGTGTCATTGGTGGGTCAATGTTTTGTGTTTATGTCGACACAATTAATTAAACAAGTTAATCTTGTTACACAGGATGAATCCGAACACGTCCACTTATAAATTTGTGTTAGCGAGTCATCTCATTTAAGTGTTCATGTTGAGAAGATCTCAACAGAAAGTAGTTAATTTTTCATCAATTTTGAATCGTATTATTGTGTTTTACCGACAATTGCCTTTGCCACCATTGCCTTGCTCAACCCACCACCACCGAAAACCTATTTACCTCCACCTCAACCTACAACCCAAATGATTCTCTTTGTTTTCTCATGCCAACCCCTTACACAACCATCACATATTGGCTATTCCACGACCACCACTCAAATGTCCAGCACCATCTTCAGACCCCCTCTCCCAAAAAAAAAAAAACACAACACGCCTACACCCCATCATTGTCGCCACCACCACCAGCACGCTACAAGCACCAATTCTCATTTCCATAAAAAAAAGAACATTATGTGGTATTTGCGATAATTGAATAGAGAGCTCACAAGGGAGAGAGAAAAACAAAGAGTGCTATGTCTCGAGTGTGTAAAAGAGAAAAAAGAACTGAGAAAAAGAGAGGAACAGGTAGTAGTCTATTTGAGTTCACATTTAGTATTGTTAAGGTAAGGGGGTATTTTTGCTTGGATGCGTGGATTATTATAAAATAAAAACAATTTTCTCGATAACTACATATGGCAAGCACATAGTGTTCGATGAATGCAATTAAAATCCTAAATTTGTTAGATGAATGTAATTGAATTTGCACGTGTAGTTGTGGTTAAATCTGTGCAAAATGAGTTTTAGTTTTGCAAAAAATAACTACCTTCAATTTTGCTGGAGTTTGATAAATGGAGATGGAATTGTCGAACAAGAGAAGGAATTTTGTAGAATTATTGAGGTCATTTTGATTTTTCCTTCGACATAGTTAACTATGCATTTTAATACCCACATGACATAAATGTTATATAATTATTTTTAGATATTAAAAAGAAAATTTGAAAAAAGATTGGATCAAATGAAATTTGCCCTAATTTTTGTATCACACAACGTTTCAGCTGTTGATATTTAGGTAACTAAATTCAGTCCACATTTTGCAGACGGTGTGTGTGTGTGTGTGTGTGTGGTCCCTCCCATGCCCAACAAAACAGTCCCTTGGTGTTTACGTGAACCCAGACAGATTACCCACGTAAACCAAACCATTATGAGATGATAATTACTTCCGATCTAGAACGTACTTGTTTGGGGCCACACAGAAAATCACATTTGAATTATTGCATCATAGTCCAATGATGCCAAGTTTGTCTGACATCAGTATGATGACATATGATTGTAATGTCACCCCTTGCGTCATCATGTAAATCAGAGTTCCATTATACAGACATACTATTTTTCTCCCATACAGTATCTCTATTTGTATCTAACATATTACGTTTCGTGTAGTTTTTTTTATTAATTAATTATTTTTTAATCAATGGTTATATATTATTCATTCAAAATTAATCATTATAAATTAATTTTGATATTATATTTTTGTGGTACAATAATCATATCCTAAAAATCGACTCATTAAAAGAATTACGCGTTGATTAATTAGCCACCTATTTAGGTTGTCTCTACTTGTTGAAAATTTTGCAGTGTATACACACTTTGTATGGCAACCTCTGTGTGGGTTTAATTAAGAGATCAATTTGGGTTAGACTTACATTGTCAAATAATTAATTCGATTACAATGTGAACATGAATTCAATTTAAAATTTTAATCGAATTACTGCTTATATTTAAATATTGAATTTGGGTTCAATTTAAATTAAAGTATGAATTCATCTTACAATGAAATTAGGGCGAGATTGAGCAACCACCTTATTCTGCCTGGAAAATTGGATGTCTTTTCGTTTTTTGTCTTGGGGGATTCAATTCCTCGTTAAGAAAAAGAAAGTGAGTTTTTTGGAATCTACTCGAACTATTCGGTTTTGATCAATGGTGGTCAAATTAATATGACTTGCTACAATGTTGATTTGTGATCGATTGATTCTAATACTTTATAACAACATTATATTTTGTCAAGATGAAGGAAAAAGAGTTTGGATCTAAAGAAAAAGTTCACACAACCAATTGAGTAGTTTGGATGAAAAAATGTAGTTACTATATTGAGATCTTCATTTTTTGTTGCAAAAAAAAAATAAAGGATGAGAAAGACTTGGGGATAATTCCAAATATAAGGACTTATCCTCTAACAAGTGTATTTTAGCAAAAATAAAAAGTATCTTTTTGGTAAAAAAAAAAAAAAAAGCTTGATTGTTGTGAAAAACATTAAAATGGAAAAAAGTTTTTGCTCATATTGACACTGCTTGCTTGCGGGTGAGGTGAAAGAAAAATTCCACTTTACATTAACGCTGGACATTTGAAGAGCAGAAGTTCCCCCACACGCCTTTTACTTTGCCCAAAAATATATATAATAAAAGAAGAATAGTCAAGTGAAAAGAGAATTGCTTTGGAATGAGTTGTTGGCAGGGGTGACCCGAGATACTATGAGACCTCAAATAGAAACGATAAATAACGTTTTTTTTTTATTTTTAATATTAATAATAAATTTAATTTTAAATTTTTTTAAATATAAATATATTAATTAAAATTTTATATTCAAGTTTTTGTTACCATATTTGAACTTATGATGGTAAGTTTAAACTGACTTTTTTGGAGTTAAAACAAGATTTTTAGTAGCTTTAATTTTACCATTAGTTTTTTTTTATTTAAAAAAATAAATTTTAGAGCCTTTTAATTTTACAGCTGAATTAATAGGCCTAATCTATTTAAGTTGAAATATTTTGTTTAGGTATGGATTTAAATTTTTTGTTTGAACTATTATTGTACACCTATAAATTACGGGTCTTCCTCGAAATGAGACCTTATTTTTTTTTTTGATTAGACTTGTATTTTTATAAGCCTTTTTGTAGGGCTTAAAATATTTATAGATTTAATTTTTTTATATGGACTATTTATGATATATAAAAATTTGAGGCCTTCTTTAAAAATATGGCCTAAAGCCTAAGTTTTTTTGATAACACTATTGAACCGCCCGGTTTATGAGAAACTACCATTGGAGGTTGGATGCCGAATTGAATTAAGGGTTAAAACTCTTACATAATCTATTTACTTAATGATGTGATTTTATTGTAATCATTAGAAATACATTAATGCTCCATTTGGTAGGAATGATGAAAAGCGGAGAGGATAAAAAGTGAGAAGGATATACTTTTTATCCTTCGATGAAGGAAAGTAGAAATGATACACTTTCCTTCCGTGTTTGGTTGGATGGATGGAAAAAAAATAACTAATTTTTTTTTTATGCTGACTAAAATTAGGGGTAACAATCGAGTAGTATCGTGTCAGATTCGTATTGAATTATTACGGGTTTGTGTCGAACATTATTTACACTTAATTTAACTCATTTAACTAATTGTGTCGTGTTGAGTTACGAATTGACTTATTTATTTTCGTGTTCGAGTTAATCAAGTTCGTGTCATAAAATTCGTATCAAGATTGAGTTGTATCACCTTGTTGAGTCAAAAATTTTCAGTCCTTGTTAAGATGGAAAAAATATTTTTTAAATTTAAAATAATTTTAATTTTATTTATTTATTATTTATTTTTAAATTTTATTTTTATTTTTAAAATTTTTTAAAATATATATATAAATACATATTTTATTACTGTATTTTTATATGAAATTAATGTATCCATAATATATGTATTTATAAAAAGATGTATAGACAAATAAAAT